ACTGAGAATTCAATTTGTGGTTTAACAAATGCAAATCTTTCTATAGTTTCCAGTCTTTTGTTCCTCTCAGTAATACTTGCTATTTTTAATATATTTTCTTCGATCTCTTTTGATACACCCTGTGAATGTTAAATTCCCTAAGCCTTCTTTCCTAATTATGTGTTCATAAAATTTCAGCTATCTCGGAATCAGCAGATGATGTTGATGATATTAAAACTTCATTCGTTAACTGCTCTATCCATAGTATTCAACATTTGTTAATAAAACCACATCTTGCAATAAGATAAATTATGAAACAACAATATGTAACACCATTACCACATATTTTTTTAATTAATATTTTTAATATATAAAATGAGAGTTAATGTCAGTGTAATACAGTAGAATCCCTCATATCCGGAGTGCCTCATATCCGGAGTTCTGCATATCCGGACATGATTTTGTTGTGTATATTTGAACTATTTAGGTGATATGTAACTGATTTGAAATTTCTGTTTTTCAGATTTACTTTGGATTATTGCTTATGCTTATTTCACCCTACTGGCTTGTATTGGTGCAAAAGTTGATGGCAATAAGAGGAAAAGGACATCTTTGGATTCACCGCAAAAAGTGAAAATTTTAAACAAAATAGACGATGTGAAAGTTCATTGTAACTAAAGGCCGAGTACAACACAGGAAAGTCAATGTATGATATAAAACCTTCCAAAGAAAATATTCTCCAGCGTTCACACTGTCAAAATGAACAAGGAAATAAAAAAAACATGATTGTGAAGAAATCTGGATTGAAATTGAAAAAGCTATTGAAAAGGTTGTCAGTTTTATGGAAAGAAAGCCAGCATTCACCTATGACGATTACAATAACGCATGCAGAGTTAAAAAAGTGTCCGTTTAAAAAATTTCAAGAACAAAAGCAGAACCAAATGCAGAAAAGTTGAGAACGACATTAGAAGAGAAAGAATCATCATGCAACAACGTCTAAAAAATCCTCGTTACATTATTTGTTTTGCATACGTGGCAGACTTAATTTACTGAATTTTCATTAACATTACATAATTTATTTCTTTTTCCTTAAAATCAATTCCGTTATATTTCACTCACCACTACGTTATTTTGTTTAGTATAAAAACATTGAATATAAATGTTAAACCTGATTCCAGTTCTTTTATTTTAATCTAAATTATGTGAAACTCTAGTTTCGGTGGACTGATTTAAAATCCAGCAACACGAAACGGCACTATATATATATATATATATATATATATATATATATATATATATATATATATATATGTGTGTGTGTGTGTGTGTGTGTGTGTGTGTGTGTGTGTGTGTGTGTGTGTGTGTGAAACTCTAGTTTCGGTGGACTGATTTAAAATCCAACAACACCAAACGGCACTATTATATATATATATATATATATATATGTGTGTGTGTGTGTGTGTGTGTGTGTGTGTACTCCTTCCGTGTCTTCCTTCGCGTCTTAGGTCTCCTTCTGGGTGAAAGCCGGCATCGATGCTTTCATCCCAGCAAGGAAATACCAAGTAAAACAGCATTTATCTCCTTGGTTCTTACCTGCATGCACGGTCGCTATAGCTTATAGGAATCACTTTTTCCGGCTGTACCAGAGCGACACCTCTGATTGCAATAGACGTCTATTTGTCTCTGCTTGTAACGAGTGAATGCGTATCCTAAAAGAAGCGAAGTTACTGTTTGCTGACAAAATGAAACAACGTATAGCCTCTTACAATTTCGGGTCTATATATTATTTACGGCTCTGTAAGAGTGTGCTGAGCAATAGAAAATCGTCCATTTCTCCTCTATTCAATCAGTTCGAAGTCCTGACATCTACAGCAGATAAGGTCGAATGCTTTGCTCGGAAATTCTGTTCCAAGTCAACACTCGACACAATTGAAGTACCCACACCTGATTTTCCTCCTTGAACTAATGAGTGATATGTGTATAACTTCGTCACAGGTCTCAGATATTATTTCTAAATTAGACTCCCATAAAGCAAGCGAAAGTGACGGGATCCCAGCCGTCGTCCTAAAGAAATGTGCTGTCGAGCTCCAGTTGTAAAAGGACGTTAATAATTTAATTTAACGTTTCTTTTGTTGTCCCAGGGTCCCAACTCTATATCGTAATTAATTTTGGTACAAGTGATTTTATGTTTTAACATTGTTTCATATATGAGGCAAGGATACGTGCCGTCGCTTCCCTCTGTCTTTTCTACACATACTTTCACGGTAACTGGTCCCACGAGCTACTTTCGTTAGTAGCCAAACTGCATGAATTTAAACGTGCTACTACGTTGGAATCTCTGTTCTACCATTTCACTGTCGAAACGGTTCAATGTAACCTATTCTATTCCAATAGCTTCTCTCCAAATTCTGCAACTATTACCTCGCTGCTTGCTGCTTCTTGAAAGTCCTTCTCTGTAGTCCCTGTTTTTTAAGAATTCTGGAAAACATTCTGATCCCTCTAACTATCGCCATATTAATCTCCTACCGTTATTTAGAAAAACCTTCGAGAATTTAATCAATGCTGACGTGGTTAAGCATATTCCATATCACCACCTACTCTCTGACAAATAATATGGCTTCCGTTTTGCCAGATCTACCGCTGATGTGCTAACGGCCATCACCGAATATGTATATCAAGCCCTTGATAATAACGACGTATCTCGAGCTGTGACTGTTGATATCTCGAAGACGTTTGACAGGGTTTGACACGCTTGTCATCAACGTAAGCTTCAGGGCTACTTTATTACTGGACGTGCGTTTAATTAAATCCAATCGTTCCTATCAAATCGTGAAACACGAACACAGGTCTTTCCCAAGGCTCTGTCCTGGATTCTACGCTGTTTCTGATCTTCATCAATGATCTATCTCCCTGATGTTATCATTTCCTAAGTAGGCATTTATGCTGATGACGCTATCATTTAATCCTTTCTTAGGAAATCTGTCAGAGTTAACCAAGTCTACGTGGCCGCTGCTCTTGAAAAGGGCATCCAATCAGTGGTCAACTGGGACAGGAAATCACTGGTAAATTTTAATGTCACCAAAACGAACTTCCTCTCATTTAACCACCATAATAAACTTTCCTTCCCACCATTGGCATGGCTGATGCTAGATCCAAGGAGATCAACACACTGCACCTTCTTGGCCTCACGTTTTCAACTGACTTGAAGTGGAAGAACTACATCGAATCAATAGCTGCATCTATTGCAAGGTAAGTTGGTTCACTGTGTCGTACCAGAAGGTTCTTCTAGTCACAGTGCATCTTGCACATTTACAAATCTAACCCATTCGTCCGTGCATTGGATACTGTAGCTATATCTGGTCAGGTGCTCCTGCTTTTCATCTAGGGTATCTTGACAAAATCGACACGGATTTTGCATCTCGACTTCAGTCACATTCTAACCAATGTATTGTGTCTTACTTCTGTTGTTTCTATAAATATTTTCATCGCAACTGCTCTGACGAGATTTTTCCTTGGTGCCCTGACTATGTGTGTTTAAGCGTGCCACTAAATTGGCATCTCGGTCCTACTCTCTTTCTGTTAAATTAGGTAAATGTAACCGTCACTTCTACTCTAACAGCTTCTATTCTCTCACTTTCCATTTGTGGATCTCCCATTCGTTTCCTTGATTCGTGATAAATAGAATCTTCAAATATTTATATGCACCGTCAATCACTATCTTCTATCTTCTTTCAGCTTTTTTTTCCTTTCCTCAGTCCCCCGTATATCCAGTCTCTTCTCTCTCACTCTCCGTAACCCCCTTTGTACTAGTGGCATTTCTGCCTTGCTTGGGGTGAAATTATCAAAAAAAAAAACTTCAAGAAAGCGTTTTCATTATATTAAAATGAATTTTAACCTTCAGTTTGACGAATCTGTGGAGATACCTAACATACATCCTACGAACACACACACATATGTGTGTGTGTCTGTGTGTGTGCGTGTGTTTGTAGGTTTCTTATAAAACCTCTTCCCTTCAAGACAGATACCTACCACCCTCCCCTGGACCACTGTCTCGTGCCTTTCGTCTGACTGAAACATTGAAGTGGATAAATTCTGTATTAGTTTTCGACTGTTTTTTCATTTATTTTATTTTTAATTTTTAGCTTTCACAGTTAAATTTCTATTTCTGATAGAAACTCAGTCCACACCGGTGTTCATAAGACAGACGACCTATATCTTCGTCTGCCGAAATAGTGTATTCCCCATACGAGGTGATTTGGGATTTATTGTTCATTAATATATATATATATATATATATATATATATATATATATATATATATATATATATATATATGTGAAAATATATAGAAAATAGGAAGGAACTGGTTAGGTAAATAATCCAAAGTCCCTTAGTATTTTAGTTATTATTTTTAAAAAATAGTGCTCGATACAAAAGTAGAGCATAAATATAATTATTTATTTAAAAATATGATTCCAAATCGCGACATAAGAAGTCCCATGTTATGTCGCGATTTGGAATCATATTTTTAAATAAATAATTATATATATATATATATGTGTGTGTGTGTGTGTGAAGAAATATAATCTTAAGATGTGCTATATTTATGGGATAAAGTGCTCAATATCAGAGATAGAGCGTGTGTAAATATAAAAGTGAACATAGAAGTCAACACTTAGAGGCGACAGTATGTTTCATGCTAGATGCAATCGTAAGGCCACAACCTGACGATTGCATCTAGCATGAAATAGACTGTCGCCTCTAAGTGTTGACTTCTATTCATGTATATATATATATAGTTAATCTTCAACATTATTTTATTAGTGGAAAATAAATTCGTTTGCAGTTTAATGGTTGTCAGAATTTCCCGTCTCTAAATAATCAAATAAAGGAAACTCTTAGACTCATAATGGAAAGCATCACAAATCTGCAGTCGGTATTCATCGTCACGTCTTTGTTTCTCTTTTGACAACCAGGTGCCAAGCCTACCGTTCATCCTCTCGCGTCTGCCATTATTATCTATGCGAAGCAACCGGCAGGAAAATTACAGTTTTATTACCCAGAAAACGATTCTTTTATATATTTTTTTTCTAACGGGCGACACAATTCACGGTGATAGCTATTAAGATTTTAAAGACTTTTGTTGTGTTAAGGTAGATATTTTTTTCTCTTTTTCTGGTTATATGTTTATAATGTCGAAGTTTTTTTTGTATACTTTTATTTCTGTTTCAGTCCAAATATTTTTCCTTGACTAATTCAGTTTTAGTCTTCTAAAGCTTTTATGGTCCTTTTGACTGATTTTCTTTTTATTTAACGCTTTTATAAGCATTTTTTTTTCTTTTCTCGACGATGTTTTAGCGTTTCATCTCATTCTTGTTTCTTTCTCATTAGTCCTGTTTTTAATTTTTGACATCCTCTATTTGGCGGGGTTGTGAGGGAGCCATTTCTTATTGTTCCTATATAATTGTGCTGAAAACGGATCCTTCACATAATGCCCGCTTTTTTCAGTATCTCCAGTATATTTGCTTTTATTTTTCAGTCTTTCTCCCGTCTCGTCTTACTACAAAAATGTTCAAATTCAGGTTCGCCTATCGACAAGTACATTTTGTTAAATTATGAATGTTTTGTATGCGAAACATTATATTTTCTTTTAACATTAACCCCTCAGTAAAATTTTTACGATTAACAAAATGGCTGGAAATTTATATGTTCTATCCATTTTATCTGTTGCCGCTGTTGGTAGTCCTCAAGTGACGTAGTTCCTGTTATTCGTGAATCTGTAGCGCCAGTCCTCAAATGTTCAAGAGGGATGATCTTTGCCAATGTCCGCAGGGTTCTAACAATGAAAGCTTTTTTTTCACCATGGAGCTTAGAAATCGGTTGTATAGAGATTTCTGGACGGGCTTAGCGCCATTTATAACATCCACATGAAAGTCTCGATCTTATATGACACGTATTTTCAGGTTGATGTTTTCGTTTTTGAGCAATTTGCTTCGACCATTTTATTTTCTTATTGTTCCCATATTCTTGTGGTGAAAACGGATCATTCACTTTTTTTCTTTTCTGTTCTTTTACCAAATTCTACCCTATTTTAGGCTAGAGAAACAAACAAGGTAGAGAATTCAAGTTGAAATTGCACTGATAACATTGTCCGTTTCCCTCCAAGGAACATTTGAAATTCATTGACCGAGCAGCCATTAATAAAATTCATAAAATCTTTCTCTTTTCCTCCAGTGAATTTCAAACTGGATTGTTTATTTATTCTTTAGATCGTTCTCGTTCCAATGCCCACATTTAGGGAAACGTCGTCTTATTCTTATTTTTAGTACTACTCAATTATTAATCACCTCCCTATTATTTTTTAATGGGTCTTAGTAGACACTACACAACCCAACGATAGAACATACTTAATCCACTAGGCAATTTCTTTTGTGAAACTAGAACCGATATAAAAAAAATGGATCATTTCTGTTAATTTACCCTAAAATATTAATTCATCCCAAAATATTAATTTCATCCCAAAATAAAAAGAATATATATTTATTAATATTCACAGCAAATTCTCCCAGCCTGAGACCCTTTCATTCCACTCCGGATTGAATTGACCAATGCGATCGCCCCAAATGTGGGCGACTCGGAGGCTCTATTTTTAAGTGCGGGGTCAAAGTTCGCGCTTTCCCCGATAAACAAACCAAAAACAGAAATTTTTTTTCTCTTTTCCTTTAAATTGTAAAGAATTCCTTGTAAATAACCCGAATATTATCCGCAGTTACGTAATGGGAATAACTCCCTAATTTTTTGGTAAGTTTTCATCCTGAGGGTTGGAGTTTTTGCCTGGCAAGTTAAACAAATTTTGATTAAAATTTATAATTTCAAAACAATGCCAAAGATTTAATAAAGTACAAATTTTGATTTAAATTTTATAATTTCTTGTGGTGAATTCATATTTGCGATAAGTAACTTTACATTATCCGTTTCGCTACAAGGAATATTTGAAATTAATTGACCGAGCAGCCAGTACTGATTTCAAGTGAAATTCATAAAACATTATCCTTTTCAGAAAAACGTGTTTCTGAAGCTTAGTTGCTGCTACGACTCTTTCCAGAATTGGGAAGGGCTAAACTAGCAATGTTTATTATTAGCAAAGAACGATTTGGAATTCATTGACTGATTAGTCTGTATTACTGTCGGTTGAAATTTATGAAATCTCTGTCTTTAAAGAATTTTTCAGGAATATAGGTTTCACAAGTCCAGTAGCTCTTATTGCTCTTTCTATTAGTGAGGTGAGTATCTTACAAAACTTTTGTTTGAGACAGAGTGAAATACTAACATTTTGATTATATCATTATTTTCTTTTCTCGTTTCATGTGCTATCTATTTTAGTTGTTGCTGCTGTTGGTAGTCCTCAAGCGATGTAGTTTATTTTATTTGATACAGTTCTTTGCAAATCTGTAGCGCCAGTCTACAACTGTTCAAAAAGGGAGAGTCTTTGCCACAGCCCTCAGATCTCACACAATGAAAGACTTTTACACCATTGTTCTTAGGAAGCGGTCTTATACAACTGATAGTTTAGATATTTTTAACGTGTTTCACACCATGCCTGACATCCACGTAAAAGTCTCGATTTGATGAAATGAACAAGATGACACGAATTTTCAGATTGATGTTTTCCTTTTGTAGCAATTTGCGGTACAGGGGAAACGACCATTTTTGAGTTCTAGATCTATCTATCTATCTAATTGTTGTGGTAGGATCCACCTAATTTGCATAGTGGAGTACCGACCATATAAATATGGTTGGTACCGGGAAGAGAGGAAAGAATGAAGAGATTCAACCAGAGACTCTGCCCGACTGCGACTCAGTCAACACATTCTCCAGGAACGGTCTTACCAGGAATATACAAAAGACTATATGTAAATATTGTGTACACTTTCTTGTTTCAATACATTTTGTTCTAAGTACATTTTGTGTTGCATTATTATTCCATGCATTAGTCAAGTTTCAACATAAATCCCAGCCTCTTCATATCTATCTATCTATCTATCTATCTATCTATCTATCTGTTGTGGATTCCGGGTTGAAATCCGGAATCAATAAATAACAAACGCCAGGAAATAATATATGAAAATAATGTATTAACGTAATAATACAAACTGGTAAAGCAGTTTAGTAATTCCAGAAATACGTGTTAGTAGCAAAATATATATACAGTCTCTGGTATTGAAGTATCGCTGTATGACTTCTTACTGAGTCTACGTGCTCGCTCACTGTGACTCCTACAACGCTGTTACCTCACCCCTCACTCTTCCGGTTACCTACAACCCTTTTACTCTGTCGCTCTGGACTCGACTCCTCGGTCTTGCTCTCGGGTCTTCACGTAGCCGTAGTATATGTATATAGTGGGTGAGTCCATTTGTGTAAAAAGGGGAGAACCCCTCAACACTATCTATCTATCTGTCGAATCACAGCCTGTTCATATCTATCTATCTATCTATCTATCTATCTATCTATCTATCTATCTATCTATCTAATCACAGCCTGTTCATATCTATCTATCTATCTATCTATCTATCTATCTATCTAATGTGTTCTTATCTATCTCAATCTGATCACTGCAAATCATTATCTGTCTGTTTCTATTGCAATTCGTTATCTATTTCATTGCATTCATTATTTATCTATCTATCTATCTATCTATCTATCTATCTATCTATCTATCTATCTATCTATCTAAACCCAGTCTGTTCATATCTATGAGATGAAGTGGAAAGAGTATATTGAATCAATTGCTAAATCTACTGCGAAGAAAGTTAATTAACTATGTCGTGTTAGATAATTTTTTTTTCGATAGAATTTATGTTACCTAGATCTACCATTCGTCCTTCCTTTGCAAATAAATGCTGAATTTGGTTTGGTGTTCCTGCAATATATTTGATGAAATTCAAAAAAGAATCTGCAATGTTATTGATCCTGACCTGGCATCTCGGCTTCAGTCCCTTTCCCATCGCCGTAACGTAGCTTCCCTCTGCCTTTTCTACAAATACATTTAAGCGCAGTAGTAGATTGGTGGAAAGGTCTTATCATTTTACAATTGAAATAGTTAGATGTAGCCACAAGTTCTATGCTAGCAGTTTCTTCCTACGCTTGTGGCACTCTATTCCGGCTTCTTGTTTCCCAGTCAACTATGATGTTCAAAAATTTAAATGTAATGTCAGTCATTATCTACTGTGTTCTTAATGTTTGTTCTTTTATTGTCTTCTCCCCTTAATAGTCTGTGAATTTTTTCTAAAAAAATATTCTGTGAGTTTTCTCCGAAAAATTATCTGTGAGTTTTCACCCCACCTCCCTCATTATGTGCCCAATGAATTTCAGCTATCTTTTCATGATTCTGAGCATATTACTTTTTCTTTTTTTTTTACCATTTTCTTTAAGACTTCATTGTTGCTTACTCTTTCCTTCAATGGAATTTTCAGTATCCTTCTGGGAAACCACTTTTTTTGCTGCCTCCAATTGTCTCTCCATATAGCACAATGAATAACATACAAGTCTCCAGCACTCGTTTCTGGCTTTCTAACAAAATGTTTTCCGTTTCTCAGTTTTTGGAATGATTCTTTCGTTTGTCCTATGCATGTTCCTATCTCAGTCTCGCATATTTACTTTCCATATACTTAAACATCTGCACCTGCTTGATTACAGAATGTAGTAAGGAAAAGCGAGAAAAAAGTACGAAATGTCAATTATAAGAACAAAAAGAAGGTATTATTGTAAGCAAAATGCAGCGAACTACAAGTGGAGACGCCAAAATCAAGCAGGAACAAAACATTAAATTTCTAGGAAGTGTTTTAACAGATTGCTGAAAGTTTGGAATCGAAATCAGAAGATGCACTGGGATAGCGAAAGTTGACTTCCAAAAAGCTAAGTAAAGTATTAAGAAACAGGAAAATTTCGTTAGAAAGAAAGAAAATAATATTAAAGTACTAAGTAATATCAATCTAAATATCTACGAAAACATATATCACTGAAATTGGAAGATGCGTTGGAATAGCGAACTATGCCTTACAAAAGCTAAGCAAAGTATTAAGAAACAGGAAAATTTCGTTCGAATGAAAGAAAATGATATTAAACTGCTAAGTAATATCAATCTAAATATCTAGGAAAATATAGATCACTGAAATTGAAAGACGCACTGGAATAGGGAACTATGCCTTACAAAAGCTAAGCATAGTATTAGGAAAATTTCGTTAGAAAAAAGAAAATAATATTAAACTGCTAAGTACTATCAATCTAAATATCTAGGAATATATATATATATATATATACATACATATATATATATATATATATATATATATATATATATATATATATATATATATTAATTGATTTATAATATTATGCTCTGTAAATTTACATTGAGCACTATTTTGTAAAAAAATAAAATATCTATAAGAACACCGGATTATATATCTTACTGTTCTTTCTTTTATATATATATATATATATATATATATATATATATATATATATATATATATATATATATATAGTACCGAAATGTAGATTTGGTGTTGAGATAAATATAATTATTTTTTTTTAAATAATAATTCTTTCTCCTCACTAAAATCTTCACACTCTCTTTCACTTCCAGTAACCCCTTGCGTCTTAGTGGCTTTATCGCCATCTTGTGTCTTCCTGAAATCAGTTCTTTTATTGTCCTTTTTCCTAGCTAAAGCGATCTCATTCAGTTTCACTTCTAGTATCCACTTCCCTATTAGGGGCATTACCGCCTTGCTTGGATTGAAATTATTAAAAAAAAATGAATATAATGAGGTAAAGATATCACATAAACCATGCTGAGAGGTTCAACATTTTACCACTTGATGCCTACAATTGCTACACAATCATTTTGGATGTAATCACACGATAAATGTTCTGGTCGCCATTCAATTATACTGGCAACACTTTCGCTTCTGCAGATGAATTATAAACATGAAAATATATTTGAATAAATTTAATGCTCTTGTAAGACATTGACTATGTGGCTCCAGGAATACAGCGTTCGCTTATGAGAGGCGGGTTGTAATTTCAATATAAACGATTAGTTCGGGTGTCGCCATTTTAATATCACACTGGGAATAAGATATCTTCTCACCGTATCGTTTGGGTGTGTCTGAAAATCATACTATGGTTTCACCAAGAATTGGGAGTGGATTTGGGTAAATTAAAGTCTTTGGAATCATGGGTTATCCAATTGTAAGTACTCAAAAATGTAATCGGTTAGATTATAAACCCAAAACACATATAAAAGGGAAAAAAACATCATGATATAAAAATTTGATTTGTGGTCCTCCACATATTCTTGGAGATGATAAAATATTTTTCATCACATAGAGTTTTGTCTTCCTGTTATTCTAACCTGAAGAAGTCAAAGAGAGTAGAGGGCCCCGTCCAAACGTGTGGTTTATACATTTTCCACTTTGTTTCATTATCTTCATTTTTGTTTCGGATACGATTATACATCCATTGCGCGCGCACACACGCACACACACGCACACATATATGTATTTACACACACACACACACATATATATATATATATATATTATATAGAAAAGAAATTCAAAACTGCCCCATTTGAATAGCTATTTCATCACTCAAGAGTTACCTTGTAGAATGTGTCAACAACAAAGGTGTTAAGAAATTATTTCTAAATAATATATATATATATATATATATATATATATATATATATATATATATATATATATATGTATATTCTTTAAACATATATTAGTAATTTAACAGACAATGAATAACTATTATACTTGATCATGAGTCGTTCTAAACTCCGTATATTTCCATTTAATCTTTATTTTTCACCCGAAATTAAACCAAATATACGGGTTTACAACGACTCTTGATCAAACATAATAGAAATTCATTATCTGTTATATTTAACAATATATGTTTAAATTAATTATATATATATATATATATATATATATATATATATATATATATATATATATTAAAAGAGACAATTTTATGCTCATTTTTTCTCCTTGTGGACTTAGCTACCTTTCGGCTAACACTTCATCAGGGACAAACGTTAGCAGAAATTGATTTAACAAAATTGGCCATCACGTATGTGGAAATTGATGGAAAATTTGAGCACCCCTAAAAATTAAATTCACGACGTGCTCCAACTTTTCCTCCAATTTACACATACGTACTGACCAACTTTTCAAGTGCATTTATTTATTCTGTGGTACCAAATCACTAACTACATATATATATATATATATATACGTTCTGTCTATTAAGTTTTCCAGTCGACTGTTTCATAGAAAATACCCAAAACTCCACCGAATTTCAAATTAATTTCTTCGTAGATTGTTTTAACATTTATATATTTATCAAACTTAACCTCCCAAATATGCACGTTAAAGTAACGCGAACTGACAGCGTCTAAGAATTTGAATGAAACCTGTCGTGTAATTGATTGGGGTTGTTGTAACTTCTTCCTTTAATGTCGTTCTTATCATTCACCCCTTAGCCATCTATATCTAGAGACGAGACGCGTTAAATTTGAGCAATATCTAGCCGACACACTGGGGTTAAAATAGGAAACTAAAATGATACATATGACACACTCATATCCTCTCTCCCACCTCACTTCCTCACTTCGTTAACTTTACGTATACTTGATGAGGTCCGTCAAAAACGTGTGAATTTCTTTTCATTTTTCATTTCAGCTTTTGGAAGTAAAGTCTGATGATCCAGAACCCTGTTAAAGGGTTATGGTGAAATAACATTACATGGAATCTTAACGTGGTCTGTCTTTTTATTCAAACAAATACATATATATATATATATATATATATATATATATATATATATATATATATATATATATATATATATATACTTACAACTACAGATAATTTTTTACATAATTTTATACTTTCAGTGTAAAAGATATGTTTTTGGATAAATATTTTGTATATCAATAAATTTTTTCACCCGAGTTTGGTGGGGGGGAGTTCACTATTTAACCCTTACACGTGCTACCACCCCGAGTCAGAGTGGATTAGGGAACAATTGCAGGTAAGAGATGGTTCTGTCCTTGTCCAATATCTCAGTCGAAGGCCTAGCTACCGGATGCAGTTTATCGTCCTACCCAGAAAAATGCATTTTTGGTCGGACCAGGAACTTTTCAGTAACGTCATATACATATATATATATATATATATATATATATATATATATAGGGCGGAATTAATATAGAGAGTGAGAGAAAGAGGGATTTACAACGTGAGCGAGGGAGACCATTCAATGGGAGAGCTTTAAATTATGGTATTTAATTATAAACACACGAGGTTTATATCGGCATTTGAACCCAGCAAGAAGGCTCGCTGCGTACACCTCCTGCCCACTGTCACTGTATATAAAGCGTAATCAATCTACTGAGTCATATGATCCCAACAGCTATTAATCGAAGCAACAGATCAATTATTAATAAGGGTAGAGCCGGACTCAAAAGAAATCGGCTTAATCGCCAATTTACTGTAATTGATCTTGGTTCATAGTGCAGAGAGCAAGAAGGAGCCATAATGGAAGGGAGGGAGATGGGAAAGCGGGGAGGAGGTAAGAAGTAAAGATGAGGAGATGGGGGTGTTAAGAAAGAGAGGAGTTGAAGACGGAGGTGACAGAGTTAATTAAGTATGATGATGAAGAAATGTAAAGAGAAAGAAAGAAAGAAAGAAAGAAAGAAAGAAAGAAAGACGGTATTGAAATGAAAAAGGAGAAGAATTAAAAAGAGAAAGGAAGGAGACGAGGAAGGTGAAAACAATGAAACAAAGAAACAAATTATGAATTTATTAATGATGGAAAGATGGAGGGTATTGCAAAAACGATGTAGAACAAAGAAGGTCACCAAAGTAAAAGAAAGAAAGAAAGATTGGATTTTATAAACAAACAAATAATGATCAGGTAATAAAAAGAAAGAAAGAAAGAAAGAAAGAAAGAAAGAAAAAGGATGAGAGAAAGAAACCAAGAAAGACAGAGGAAAGAAATACAGAGATAAATAAAGAAACAAACAAAGATAGTGATAAAGAAAGAAAGAAAGAAACAAACAAACAAAAAAAGGAAAAGACAAACAAACAAAGAAACAAAGACCGAGAGAAAGAAAGAATGAAACAAACAAAAACAAAGACAAAGAGGAAAAAAGAAACAAAGAAAGAGAGAGAGAGAGAAAGAAAGAGAGAAAGAAACAAACACAGAAAAAGAAACACATATATAAATAAACGAAGAAAAAAAACAAACAAAGAAAAAAAGAGGATGAAAATGAAGTGGGAAAAATAGGGAATTAAGAAAGGAAGGAAATGCAGAAAGGGTTAATGAAATATTTTGAATCAACAGAAAGAAAGAAAGAAAGAAAGAAAGAAAGAAAGAAAGAAAGAAAGAAAGAAAGAAAGAAGAGGATTAAAAAGGAAGGAAAAAGGGGAAGGAGTGGATAGAGTTAATGAATTACGATATTAAAAGCGACATAGAAAGAAAAGAGAGCAAATAGAAAAGAAAACACAAAAATAAAGAAATAATGAATGTATTAACAAAAAAACAAAGAAATAATGAATGTATTAACGATGTATGATGTTGCAAAAATTAAGCAGAACAAATAAATCCACAAAAAGAAAGAAAAAAATGTCAGATAAAAAGAAAGAAAGATAGAAAGATATATCATATTTTTAAAAGAAGGAAAGTAAGAATTAATGCTGAGATACTAGAAAGAAAGAAGAAAGAAAGAAAGAAAGAAAAGAGGAGGACGAGGATGAAAACCAAAGAGGGAAGCATAAGAGGTAATGAATCATGATAATGAAGGAATCTTGAAAGAAAGGGGAATAAGAAGAAAGAAAGAAATATGCGATTGTTAAAAAGAAAAGAAAGAATTAATGATGAGATGTATGAAGAAGGGAAAGAAAGAAAGAAAGAAAGAAAGAAAGAAAGAAAGAAAGAAAGGAAAATGAAGTGTTAATGAATTATGACAATAAGGGATCTTGTGAGAAATAAAAAAAGAAAGAAAGAAAAAAGAAAGAAAGAAAAAAGAAAGAAAGAAAAAAGAAAGAAAGATTGGAAGATAAAAAAAGAAAAGGTTAAATCGAAGAAAAAACAATAAGAAAAAAATAAGAGAAGCAGAACCTAAATGGATAGAAGAAAAAGAGAGTGAGAGTGAAAGTATGAAAGAGAGACAGAGTGAAAGAGAATAAAAGAGAGAGAGGAGAGAGGGAAAGAGTGAGAGAACGACAGTGAGAGAGAGTGTGACAGAGCGTAAGAGTGAGAGAAAATGAAACAGAGAGAGTGAGCCTGAAAGACAGAGTTAGATTGAAATAGAGAGAATGTGTGTGAGAGAGAGATTGAGAAAGAGTGTGAAAAGAGAGAGAGAGAGAGAGAGAGAGAGAGAGACAGTGTGAGTAAGAGTAAGAGTGTGAGAGAGAGAGACAGTGTGAGTAAGAGTGAGAGAGAGATACAGTGTGAGTAAGAGAGAGAGACAGTGTGAGTAAGTGAGAGAGAGACAGTGTGAGTAAGAGTGAGAGAGAGAGATACAGTGTGAGTAAGAGAGAGAGAGAGAGACAGTGTGAGTAAGAGAGAGAGAGAGACAGTGTGAGTAAGTGAGAGAGAGACAGTGTGAGTAAGAGAGAGAGAGAGAGAGAGAGAGAGAGAGAGAGAGAGAGGAGGCTGAAAGAAGAAATCTCTCAGCAGTGGCATCACCGGTAAACAAAGAAGGGAAATCAGAAGCTACAAAAGAACATTTGTTATAAATCAGAGAAAGAAAATGAAGGAGAAAGCTAAACCAAATCCAGATGAAGAATTTGAACAAGTGAGAAAATGGTGTTGAACGGGTTAAGGATATAATGAAGAGGTATTAATGGAGGCGGAATAAGTAAAAAAAAAAAAAAGAAATAGTCATGAAAATTAATAAGAGAAAATGAACTGACGTTTCTGTGGGAAAGAAATATGCATTCATGAATAAATTGCTTAATCATTCGTCAATAATCGAGACAGTTATGTTTGTCATCAGAGACTGGTTATTTGGCCACCGGGATGGTTGAAGGTTAGCTTATTGACTTTACTTGACCAAAAAGAAAAAGTATGGACACATTACAAATAAAATCTCACTAGTAGGTTAAATTGATATTTGAATTATTCCTTTATTTCCTAGGCACATGTCTACTCGGCGTTGCCTGTGTTTTATATCAAAATAACACTTGCAATTTACAAAATCATTATGAACAATATCTATCTTCTTCTATGTGCCGTATTCCTTTAGGGACATTGCATGGTCATGTCTCTCCACAAGTAAAGGGTTCTGTTCACAATTCCTTGAAGTGTGCCCGGATCGATATACAGCCGACGAAGGCCAGAGGACACAAAAGCCGAAACGGTGAGATAGCAACAATAAAAAGTAGAAAAATAACCGCATGTAAAAAAGGGTAGATAATGATAGACCTTTATTCTAGTAATTCAGACTAAAATTTACCAAAGCCAGAACTGGACTCAAGATAGAGAGTTATTATTTCAGTATTTTATTGATTCGTTTTTACGGTCTATCAACCCTTTGCAGGTTATTTAAAGCCAGAAAATATTAAATTGTAAGAATTCTTTTTGTTGTTTTCTTTTTTAAATAATGATTTAGTGATACAAGTTCTATTAATTACCCCAGAGTCGGAGAGGTTGCGAGAGGTGGATTCATACCTAATCAGAATTTTATAAACAAACAAGAAATTAAAATTTGGGTATAAAGTGGAGGATCTATTTTATACTACAATCACTATGTAAACTGATCCCTCACTTTATGGGCACTGTAGTTTCTGTACATTTATATTCCAGAGAATGCTAATCAATCTAAAAGACATGCCTACAAGAAATTATAATGTGGATATAAAGTGGGGGATCAATTCTATATTAGAATCAATATATAAAATAATCCCTCACTTTGTGACCAGGGTAGCTTTGATACATTTATATTCCAGAAAATGTAAAATAGATGTATGTGTAGCTAATGAGCATTTCATTGACTGATTCGTTTTTTACGGCTTATCAATTTAGATTCTGAAAGTATTTTTAGATCGTTAGAATGTTCTTTTTGGATAACAATGATTTACTGATACAACTCTTACTAATTAACCCATAGCTGGAGGGATAAGATACGGATTCATAACTTTCCGAAGAGTATTTGCGCGTAACGAACGCAAGTAGAACTGGAACTCTGCTCTCCGATCAACACTTACGAGCCAGTCGCGCTTCCAAGATTAAAGGATTTGATATACCCAATCGGATTAGGCTCGACATTGCTTTATCTTCGCTTATCGTATGGGAACTCGCGTTTTAACGTGATGTGCGCAGAAGCCAAGAAGACAATATTCCGCATGTAAGGTAACTTGTTTTTAGCTTAGATGTGTCACACGACTGAATGTATGGGGCATCCAGTGAGGAACGTACTCACTACTCAGTCGTAATTGTTCTAGAAAGACAAGCTTGTTAATCACTACACCACGTCGAGGTGGCTGCGGCTGTAATGGAAATAATCGTACCAGTTTTAAGCAATTAATAATTAAAGTTTAACTCTCATTTCAAATATAGTTATTTTTTGGAAGTAGGTCGAGAAATTTTGAATACCGGAAAATGTGGAAAGATGGGGAGAGAGATAGAAAGAGAGAGAGAGAGAGAGAGGAGAAAGAGAAAGATAGAAAGAGAGAATTAACGGAATCTTTTGTTTCCAAATTCTACTGTCAGTTAAGCTGCAATAAACGATAGATCGTGAAAGAAACTTAATACTTTACAATTTTAGAACTCCTTGTATTTTTAATATTTTCTCCATGGCGTGCCGGCCATTTTAGTTGCCTCGTGATTTCCTATTTCTCCCGTCCACATTTGCGTTCTTGTTTCTTCCAAATGACTATGAATTTCGCGCGGCAAACAAAGAAAGAAGTCAGAGAAATGTAATAACTGCCGATTTCTCTGTCGTAAAGGCAAATATATTCAGACAAACTTTGGCATTCTACATTCTTTTAAATGTCATAACGTGTCTTGCACGTTTCTCAGTTCTAAAAGTACATTGCATGCGTGCTTACGTACAAATAACACTGGCAATATCTAAATGCAGTACCAAAATACAAATATGAAAAATTAACGGGACAAGCCGCATTTATATGTGCAATTCCATGTCTGGTATTCCCTTGTACGCCTCCTGTCATACAAGAGACAAATCTAAACCGAAAACAGAACGCTTCTGTATCATATCAACTGTAAATGACCAATCTGCTCTTTTCAACCTTTATTAAGTTCAATAGCGTTTCTGAGTCCTTTATTTTCAACCTACAAACCCTTTCTCACAGACGGTACGTAACTGTCGCCATTCCATCTTTATTTTCATGGCAAGGTTTCAAACTAGCTACATTTCTTAGTTCCACCGAACTGTAGCAAATAACAGAAGCATCATCACTCAAAGACTATCAACAGCTAAAGCGTATAACACATGTAAATCGAACAGAATTTCATGACATAATCAAGATGTTGACATTACATACTACTTTAAAACTACATTAGAACTATTCCTTAAGTGAGCTGGAAACTATTCAGAAGGCAGAAAAACACGTCTATTTGGCTTTGTTGTACTATATTCAATAAGTATAATCTTTTAGTCTAAAGTAGGGTTTTGAAATTTAAAGATATTCATGACGGTATCTCTATCTATAAAAGGCAGGCTGTGTATGTGCGTGTAAGGAATGCACGGCCGCAATTTTCGACGGATTTGCACCAAAATTTACATGCACATGCTCCAAGTTAGCGGGAAGGCTAAGACCGACTTTGCATTTCCCAACTCCCATCGATAGTGGAAATAATCGATTTTTCTATGCTTCTACGGCAGTTTTCATGTAGTTTGCGGCCATTTTCTACTGGCCAGAGTGAGAGCCTATAGGTGGCGGCCACGAATAGGCAGGAAGATTCTATTGGCCAGCGTGAGAACCAACAGCTGACTGACACGAATGTTAACAAGCATGATAGCATGCAAAAAAAGAAATCGATAGCTGCATTCGTCACAAGTGGAAAAATTTAAATCTACATGGCACTTTACTCCAATTGGCTCAATCGCTTGCTTAAACTCAACGTTGATTCTGATTCCGCAGAACTGGGTTGGGTATGAAAAAGTATTTGTTGTTAACATTCTTTTTTCATTCGTTTTTTTCCAGATACGAGTCCTTTTTTAAAGCTGATCATTTTGTGTTCATTTTGTTTAGTTCTTTTTTCGTAACAGATTTAATGTTTAGTATAGAGCATAGAAAAAATTCGCAGTGTGAGATAGACAAGAAGTAAGGCATGTAGCAACATCAGCACGGCAAAGGGCACTCCTTTAAAGGCAAGGAAGGGCAAAAATATTTTAAGCCAAGTGATAGCGATTGCTGTATGAGTTGTATGATTTTTGAATCAAGCCCGGGCAACGCCGGACCATGCTGCTAGTGATATTATATTGCTATAACTCATCCCATATATAAACTATACAAAATAACAGAAACCACATCACTTGAAAACTAACAACAACAGCAGAAAGAAAAATGGATAACACATCTAAGTCAAAGATACACTGCTTCAAAAAAGTTTCGTAAGGAAACTCACATCAATAATAGAAAGAGCGATAACAGCTAATGGACATAAGAAATCGAGACTTTCACATGGATGTCATGTATGGCGTGAAAACAGTTCAGAATTATGTAAACTATCAGTTGTAAACAACCGTTTCTTGAGATTAATGATAAAAAAAAATAGCTTTCATCGGGTGTAATTATCGCCCTTTGAACATTTGAGAATTGGCGTTACAAATTCACAAAGAACTGTACCAAATATCAGAAACTGCACCACATGAGAACTACCAACAGAAGCAACAAGTAAAATGGATAGCACATGTAAGTCGAAGAGACAATAATGACAAAATAATGATGTTAACCTCCCACACTACTTCAAGTAAAAGGTAAAAAAAAAAACCCTATTTAGAAAGTGCGATAACAGCTACTGCACTTGAGAAACCAATTGTCCTGAAAAATTCTTTTAAGAGAGAGATTTTATAAATTCCATTCGACAACAGTACTCAATAATCAGCCAATGACTGTCAAATGTTTCGTTATAGAGAAAAGATTTATAATAACTTTACCATTTCAGCCCTTCACAACCAGAAAGCATCATGCTGGATCAATACTGGAAAGACATAACACGAGAAACCTGTTTTCCTGAGGTGTTTTAAATGAAAAGTTTTATGAATTTCAACTGAATACAGTACTAGCTGTTCGCTTAATTAATGTCCAAAGTTCATTGAAGAGAAACTGATAATGTCACATTTACCAGCACCATTTCAAATGTAACTCTCGACATTGATTAGTTGTCAAGCGTTATAATGGATAAAAAAGGGGGCATAAATTGAAGAATTTGAATTTTTTGGTAGTAAGAGAAGCCCGGTGAAAGACAGGTAAAATAAAAGCAATTACATTGTAGTTATTGTAATTTAAAGATTTACTTTAAAAAAAAAATACTAAAATATCTCACTTAAAGTATCTGTCTATATCTCTGAGATGAGGTATTATGTACACTATTTACATTGTTCGAACTATCGTCCTCATCTTTGTTGCCATATTTATCAAAACGTTTCGGCCGTTGTACACTCTGGCCCTCTTCAGGTGGTTGGAATGTCGAACTGAACCCTTTATTTCGCTCGCTGGGGTAGATTGTTCTAGTTCCACGTGCCATGTCTAATGAATGTCAGTTATCAGTTATCTCCTGTTAATTCCCCTCTCCAAGTTCTCCTTAACCAGGTATTGAACTCAGACTCTTTGGGTCCAGTCACTGAATCTAACTAATGCCTTTATCCACTGTGCCATGTGTCCTTGAGGACATCTCTATATGAATTTCTGGGACTTAAAAACCTAATGTCTTCAGCAACCATTTTTACCAGTGCTCATATTGCAATGTTTGCTGTTATCTTGCATGATTTTTT